AGAAATCAATTAATTAACTTGCGGAACAGATGGTATACCGCAAAAATGAGGTGCAAAAATTTGTACACCATATCCTGATTTCGACAATTAATGTCTCTTCAGTGATGTTAGGAATCGAAACGGTATTTGGAAGGCCATATAATTTACCTCAATTTAGGATATCTCCCAAATGAATAGAACCCTGTAATTTAAACTGGTATAATTAAAAAATTCCTTTAAACTGTAAGAGTCCAATACGGAAACCTGAGTTACTGGAAACAAGTGATGGAAGGAAAATGAGTGACTCATTCTATGTTTTTTCATTTATTCCCTCTGGGGAAACTGTCCTTAGCTTTCTTATCCAAAACCTTTCCCGAGCGAGTCTGTCGGCCCTTGACCAACCCTCGTTGTGGTCTATGATTGTGATGGTCAGGTTTTTGAGATCAGCTTGGGCATCAGAAAGACATAGCACAATAATAAGTATCATATAATGTCAATCCGTGGTAAAATGAATATAAAGTCAAGCCCAATGCATTAATTTGTATTCAATATACACAAAATATGATCCCACTCCGTTCAAACACTATTTCATAATTTATTCTTCATTCTGTCGATGTACGCGTCTGGTGCAAATACAAAATTTCAATACTTGTAACTTTGATGATAGATATAAGAAGATGTGGTATGAGTGCCGATGAGACACCTCTCCATCAAAGTCACAATTTGTAAAAGTAAACCATTTAGGTCAAAGTACGGTCTGCAACATGGAGCCTTGGCTCACACCGAACAGCAAGCTATAAAGGACCCCAAAAATGACTCGTGTAAAACCATTCAAACGGGAAAACCAACAGTCTAATCTATATAAAAAACGAGAAACGAGAAATACTTACGAACCACAACAAACGACAACAACTTAACATGAGGTTCCTGATTTAGGACAGGTGCAAACAAATGCAGCGGGTTTAAACGTTTTAATAGGTACCAACCTTCACCTTTACCTGAAACAATAGTATAACATCACAACATAGAAAGACACACTATAAGATATCAATTGAAATGGCTTGACTCAATCAAAAGACATATTAACACAAGTGAACATACACTGAAGGAATAAATTTGATCTATGACACAATGTAATGTAAAATCAATAAAATAAGGGGTTAGATGTTAAATAATTTAGGAAAGTCAACCATAACCTTGAACAAAATGCAGCCAAATAAAATAATGTACACAAATGATATCACAAACAAGTCAAAACATTTACTAAATTTTATCATCGGTACAAGGACATCATTCGTAAATATAAATCAACATGCAGACATCTAATACGTTCAGGTATTTCACATCCAATCTTTTATGGTAATATTCTTTACAAAACACAAAAATGTCGGCATTCACCTCAAAAGCTAACAAAACCTTTAAACAAACTTATTTAGAATGGATATAGTTACGATACTGTTGTCAGATCATTCAAGATGACATATGTTGGCTTTAATATTGATTCACTTATAGGGTCTTTGCATCGGAAATAAACACATCTATTCTAAAACCAGTTGTTGGCATGATACGGGTTATGTTCTTCTCATATATTTTATGATTTTATGATACTAAACCCCTAACAGGAGGGATTGTGCTTGATATTCATTTGATGAAGACATAATCTTTCAATCAGTTTAATTGAGGTCTGGAGCTGGCATGTCAGTAACTGCTAGTAGTCCTTTGTTAATTTATGTATCATTATCATTTAGTTTAGTTTCTTTTGTTACCTATTCTAACATCGGACTCGGACTTCTTTAAACTGAGTTTTACTGTGCGTGTTGCTGTGTGTTTGTTTTTTCTACATTGGCTAGAGGTATAGGGAGAGGGTTGAGATCTCACAAAACATGCATTTTTGCGCATTTCCCAAGCCAGGAGCTTTTGGCCATTGTTAGTTTTGTATGATTTTTAATTTTTGTTCATTAATATATTTCGGAGTTCAGTATGACGTCCATTATCACTGAACTATAAAAAAGAATATGTGGTATGATTGCCAATGAGACAACTCTCCACAAGAGACCAAATGACACAGAAATTAAAAACTATAGGTCACCGTACGCCCTTCACAAATGAGCAAAGCCCATACCGCACAGTCACCTATAAAAGGCCCGAAATGACAATGTAAAACAATTCAAACGAGAAAACTAACGGCCTAATTTATGTACAAAAAATGAACGAAAAACAAATATGTAACATATACACATTTTTGTTTAGGGGCCAGCTGAAGCACGCCTCCGGGTGCAGGATTTTCTCGGTGTGTTGAAGACCCATTGGTGGCCTTCGGCTGTTAGGTTCTGATCTTAGGTCGGGTTGTTGTCTCTCCCATTTCTATTCTCAATTTTACAGGTAAATGAAAATAATTTTGTTGTAAGGTATACAGTATGAATGGAGAACGGAAATATTATTTACAAAATAAATAATTTTGTTGTTCATAGTACGAGAACAGAAGTGAAAATTTATAGTCATACCAAACACTTATCAAAGCTGGTATATATTAAAAATAGAGAGACGAAATATAACACTAAATAAGTAAACATTTAATAACAAAAAAACATTACAAATTGTATCAACAGGTCAAATTAACACGAAAGTACGATTTGAGAGTACTCGCAATTACTGCAAAAAAAGTAAAATCACACAAATACTGAACTTCGAGGAAAATTCAAAAAGGAAAGTCCCTAATCAAATGGCAATATCAAAAGCTCAAACACATCAAACGAATGGATAACAACTGTCATATTCCTATATTTTTAATATATACCAGATTTGAAAGCTAGTCAAAAGCCAAAATCAATTAAGAATAAAAAATCATGCATCAGAGACTTAAATCAACTAAAACACATCCAAGGGATTTTAACGTTATGGACAGTCAAAGAAGACATGACTTGTCCAATGCCAAAAATAAAAGTATCGACAGGCAGTAGGATAGTTAGGAGTTAACCTCTATATAGAAAAAATGAACGTGGATGTGTATTTATACATCCCCTTTGAAAAGAATACACATTTAGTTATGTTTTAATTTGCTGATGACAAAATCGATATTTTTGCCTATGTAAACTATATTCAAAGATCTAATTACAACATTGGTAAGGTAACCTTTACTAATAAGTTTGTTTAAAGGTTCGATGATTTTACACAGATCACATAGTGATTTCCGCGCTTTTATTACAATATTACCGTAAAATTTTGGATATTAAGTGCATATTTAAATTAAAGTATCGTAAAACGCTTTCATAAAAAGAAAATAATAACCCGACATAACCGATTTGACAGACCCCTCCCAAAAAAAAAAAAACAAAAAAAAAACAGACAATACAAAATGATACTGAAAAGAATTCTTGTAATTATTATCGCACCTTGTGGTAAAAACTTAATAAACTGAATTCAAAAAGCAGTACCTACAGAGGCATACAGAAATTCAATGGATAAATCAGAAAGAAAGCAATGCATTCAAAATCGTAAACTACATTTATCATTTAACATTTACCTTTGTTCTGTAATGCATTTGCCTTCTGTAGTTAAAACACCTTCGTAACAATTTTGATAAGTTATCAAAAAGAGTACTAATGCGCAAATACATGTATCTCCCATCATTCTCATGCCTTCATTACGGAAACTAATATGTACTTTTTAGATAGGAAGTTTTTTTTTTCTATTATTTAAAACGGATATGAATAGATGCCAACAAATACTAATTGTTAAATTGCAATTAGTTGATTCGACTGTTTCTGTTAATTGTAGCATCCGCATATTAAAAAAAGAGATGTTCATACGAAATCATCGTTCAGATTTGAGTCTGTAAAACGATTCTTTTATTTTTACTAACATGATGTGAACATACACATTGACAATAAAATAAATCATTAAAACATTTTATCAACATAATTTCAATTCCATTTTGCTCATTAACGATTTTGCATACAAAAAAACCCATGATATTGTGTTATATTTCACTCTATTTACTTGCAGAAAACAAATCTTAGTATTTGCAGCTTTAAAATTATATATTATTTACGGTTAGTCCTTAATGGCACCTGGCAAAAAGAAAAATACCTAAAAACCGAACCCCAAGGAAAGTCAAAACGGAAAGTCATTTAACAAATTGCTAAATCAAAAGCTGAAACATATCAACGAAATGGAAAACAACTTCCATATTCCTGACTTGGTACACGCATTTAGTCTAATCCAAAAAACAAAAACAGTCACTAAGACAATTTTTTGTCTGTGTCAAGTGTCGCAAAGCACAGGTCATCAGTAATAAGTCGAAAAGGGAAATTGGTCAGAAAGAAGACATTTTGAAATACAAATATATAATGAAACATTTTCTTCAAAACTCGAACTCAATTCATGGAAATGATTTGTTGGAAATATTAACGTTTGTTTAAACATGTCTATCTGAACAGTAATATGCACAATACAATATTTAAACAGTGCCCTAGATATATTCGACTGGTGTATGACGTATTAAAAAAGATAAGTATTTCAGAACTTATCGGAATTGGAATAAATAACTATAAGGTGTATAATTGCTTTTTTCTGTTTTTTGTTTTACAGGGTTTTCAAAAGAAAACTCAAAACAAATAAACAAACGTTACGGAATGAGCGTATTTTATATAAGTACAAAGCTTAAGTTATCCTTTTATACACTGTTATTAAATTGATACTCACATTCAAAATAAGCAATACACTGAATATATACAGAAATCAAAGGGGTCACAAGATATGTCAGTTTAGTCCAGCCTTTTCAAGTACTGCACTGCAATGGAAATATCAATGAGGAGATTTTTAAGTACGTGTAACTGCTTTAAACATGTCTATTTGAACAGTAATATGCACAATACATTATTTAAACGGTGCCCTAGATATATTCGACTGGTGTATGACGTATCAAAAAAGATAAGTATTTCAGAACTTATCTGAATTGGAATAAATAACTATAAGGTGTATAATTGCTTTTTTTCTGTTTTTTTGTTTTACAGGGTTGTCAAAAGGAAACTTAAAACAAATAAACAAACGGCTTTTCAAGTACTGCATTGCAATGGAAATATCAATGAGGAGATTTGTAAGTTCGTGTAATTGCTTCAGCCCAACCATATTTCATGTTTGTATCAAATCAAGCCTCAGGATCATAAATTACCCAATGTAAAAGTTTGGTCTTGAAGTATAGATTCTAGGTACTGACGTTGTTTATCATCCATAATACATGTTATAGTGTTGTTTGTATTTGTCTTTGTATATCTTTTCTGTTTAGTCCAGTTTTAGTCATATACTTTTGGCGTAATTCAGTATTTATACATCCCGCCATTGTTCAATTGTGATATGGTCATTTTTTGTATGCTTATCTTACAAGTGTGCTTATGAGCTTTGTATGTATAGTATCTATATGGCCATTTTGTTTTTCTTGGTAAGATAGTTGTTTGTTTTAAAAGTGATTAAGATCAAAACACATTGTTGATTGCTGTTCCCACATTTGTTTACATTTGATGTGTTTGAGCTTTTGATAAGAGATTTTCCGTTTTGAATTTTCCTTGAAGTTTGGTATTTTTGTTATGTTAACTTTTTTACACTTTTTGTTATTAGAAGAGTAAAATGTTGGTTAAGTCTGTTTTTTTGTTGATATGACTTGTAATTCTTTGTTTCAGATTAGTATTTTTCTTAATCAAGTGAATAGGAAATGTGTCAATTGTTTCATGCATATCAATTGCAAAAACAATTATTACAAATATGTACCGATTTCTCTCAAATGCAAAATAACAAAATACCGCATAAGCTAGTGTCATGATCAAAATGCATAAAGCGAGCACACTTTGACAATGTTTCCAAGTTTCTTTTTTTCCCTTGTTCATGCTAGTGGTAATCATATTTGTTGCTTGACTAATGGTTTTTGGTGTGTTCTGTTTACCTTCTAAGAAATTTATTAACCTTATTGATTTATTTTTTTTCAGGCGTTTTTATTGTTTGTTACTTGGAAATCAAACGCATTTGATTTACAATGTCCAACGAATGGCCATAGATTACAGAGAGTAAAATATGTGTGCAAAAATTCACCAGCTAGTTACTACTCGTGCTTGTTTGACCAGCGACAAAATATTTTTAATGAATCTTGCAAGATACCTTCTACTTTTGTAAGACCAAGTTTGTTCATTTGTAATATGTCATAGTTTAGTTTTCCATATTAAATGGTAAAGAACTAATGATGGGAATAAATTGTCATATATCACATTGTTCTAAGAATATTAAGTAATCAGAAATTAAAATCACAAAAAGCAGATGCGGAATACATGGGTTGCATGCGATTTAGAACAATTTCACCCACATCTGTGTTTGTTTCCCGTAATCTATGGACTAAGGATCGATGTAATTCTCAAATTCAAGCTTATATATAAGGTTTAAACATATCCGATCATACTAAAACCATTATCATAACCGTTCTATCGATTACATATCTCCATTTAATTATAATCATCATAAATATATAAAGACATCATAGTACAAGACAATTTTGGAAAGTTACTTTCTTCTACACTAGAATGTGGGTCCCTTTGGACGTATAAATCTTAATTATCGGGCTTCGGTTTTTCTCTATCTGGCATTCATTTTTGTTTGGCTTTGAAATCCAGAAATGTGTTTCGGACGCATAAGCATGATTTAGTGTTATTTCTATTTACTAGAACTGGGTCATTCCCATTGTGGTTATCTATTACAACTTTGATACATTACCCGTTCCATTCTCAATTTCAAAGGGTATCATCAACATAGTAGTTATTGCTTCGGTACTAACATGATTTTTAACAAAACTTTCTTAAATTCTGCTTTGATAAAGTCAGAAAAACTCATTTTGTCCTTCCATTAATTATGATAACGGATTGTTGTTAAGAGTTTAAATAGAATAATTCAATTTACTTTAATTGCAATGTCAACGCCGTTCGACAATTAAAATTGCAAACACTCTAGTACTGCTCAATTACTAACGTGAATCAGAGAAACCAGATAAGGAATGTGATTAAAATACTTATATCCTTTTATCTTAAATAGTTTTTATAATGTTAGATCAACACAAATCTTTCATTTAACAGGACAAAAGTATGTAATCAGTGTTCTACGAAGAAATACAAACTGTTCAACAAAGAGATTCTAGCCATTTAAATTTTGGTCGCATGAGCTGAGTCTTTGTGTTTTTAAAAAATCCCAATGTAGAGGAATTGGACAAATTCTTTACAGCAACGACTCATTGCTTGAAGATAACAAATGTCGATGTGATCACTACAGTGGGTATTCCTTTCTGCAAGAACCAAAACATCTATGTTATTGTGTTCCATCTATGGAAGATTGTACGTGTTACCAAAAGCGATGTCCAATCAATTATAAATTATCATCAGATACTAATTTTCTAATTTCTAAAAAATATGTATACACTTGCTGCTGGTTGACTATCAGTCTCTGAGAGTATCATCAGCTGAGTAGTCAGTTCATCTGTACTAACATGATTTAGAACACATTTTTCTTTCCGTTTATAGATTTATAAATTATTAAGAAATTTAGGTTTAAACTTCCTCAGGCTAATTTGACCTTAGATGGATTCGGCTATTATTCTTTGGTCCTTTTTGGTCATAGAGCTCTTTTAAAACAGCCACGGTTCTTATACAGTATTGACTCTCAAATATTCGGCTTTGAACTGAACGTTCCTGATGAGGCAGACTAAAATGTATTAGTTATATCCTTTATCTCAAGTTTGATGGAATAGATGCTTTAGTTACCAAATGTTGAATTATGTCGTGTCAGAACATCATCTATAAAGCGGAAAATAAAGTTAAGAGATAATGCTAACTTCTTTTCTTTCGTTCTATGAAGTTCCTATATGAAGTCAGCCTCATAAAAAAATGAAGGGTTCAGTTAGTTCCCATTGGAATGTCGATTATTAGTTGAAAAACAAGTTCTCCAAAGTAACAAATATGTTGTCAATCAAGAAACCAAGCATCCTAATAATGTCAGTTTCAGAAAATTTGTTGTTTGAATCAGAGTAATTTTTTACAGAGTAGGATTTATTCCTCCTTAAGACAAGATACTTGTATCTACGATAGACAATCTTTTTATGAAACAAAGCAGGAACACCTATGTCTCTTTTAGTTTGGAATGAGGAATACAAGTGTTCTAATACTATTGCAAGATGATAGAGACTTAGATTGGATGTACTCTAAAAGATCTTTGGATTTTTTTAGTATCCACATCTGATTTATGTCACATCTAGAATAGGTAGTTTAATTGAAAATTTTAGATGCATTTTAAACATCAGTTCAAACATGTGGATATAAAACCAACTGATAATTGTATATTCTGTAACTCTATTACTTTGTTATGCTATTGACCATTTCTATCAAATGAACAATAAGGTAATCGCATAACATGTGTTGCATGTATAAAATAAGAAACTTACAAGGGTTAGTGTCGACACCTTTTCAAGTGCACAAGATTTCGACTGTTTTATTAAAAACACCTGTACTGAAAGAATTTTTTATGAATATCAGGCTTGTATATCTCCAATTTTTAACAGAATACGCATATATTAACGGTTATCACATTCTTACTTACTTTTCTGCAGATTATAAATGTAGATCAATATTCTCATTGCCAACTAGTTCTGTGTGTAAAGAAACGAGTAAAACAAGGTATGAAACATTTTCAAACGTTTAAACTTATATTAGCTAGTTTACTCTGAGATATATCTGCTCATATAACGAAGTAATTCGGTTTTAAGGTTCATCTGAAGGAATTAAAAAATATGGCCGTTTTTACACCACAAAATCTACTATGAGTACAGACAAATTGATGCATCTAGGAACATTTTAAGGCATGGCAGGACCTAGATATGTAAAAGTTATATAAAGTCTTTGTTTCAGAAAATTGAAAACTTACCTGGATTTTGATGTGCATTTTTTTTCCAGTCTGCAGAAGATAGAAAAATAAACAAACACACGAGTTTCATTTGATACGGTCCACTCAGTTACACTGTAAATTACCTATAATTGGCAGATGTCATTTGTCCATCTATTGTCCATTTAAATCAATACAACTCACAACATGTATTATATCAAGGATGCTTCTCAAACTTTTTCCCAACTTAGTTTATTTTGACACCTTCTGCAGGAACGAAAAAAAATGAATAGCAAAATCTAGTAAAGTATTTAATATTCTAAAACTTAAAATGCATTTAAATTTTATTTATCTAGGTCCAGCCATACTCTTAAACTTTTCAAGATGCACAGGTTTGTCTGTACTCAGAGTGAAATTTGTAGTGTAAATACGGCCATATTTGCGAAAAGGTTATGATGAACCTTAATACCAAACAGGATGAAGGGCCTAATCGAGATGACCTGGATATTGTCGAAGCGTAATCGTACGAAACGGGAGATACTGTTTAAACATAGTAATTTATAACTCTAATAATAAAAACGCATGTCGAATTAAAGTAAATTAATTCGCATCGTCTATATGTAGTTTAAAGAAGATATTACCCGACTGTCTCACTAACAATTCAATGTTTTCCAATAGCAAAGGTGCACTCAATATACAAGACTTAGCTCTCAAATTTGAGGGTCAAAAAGGGATTTTAATAAATTTTGAGGGTAAAAAAAGGGGATGGCAGATATATTGAAGTATACTATATTGATATGATTGATAATCATTTTCAAATCTGTTTTGTTTTCAGCGATGATAGTTAGCTTATGTTCCAAGCCCAGCCGGATAAGCCTGGGTGCTTGTAAAAATGGGATTTCAAAAGGGTTTTTTTTTATGAACTGATTGTGGTTTAAAAGTTAAACTACCAAAGATATTGAAATTTATTATATTGATACATTTGATATTTAAATTGGAGTTGCAATTAATTTTTTGATCTTTGATGCTTATTACATTTTCTGTTCACCGTTTTAGTTTATTTTAATGTAATAGCAAATTTATACCGAAATCAATAAGTTTACAGACTGAGAATAACAACAGACACATGTATAAACGTTCATGTTATCCGACAGACCACATTAAAGAAGGGTCTAACTTACTTAGTACAAAGAGATTTAACACTAAGAAGATGGACCAGACCATCCTACCTACGCGCACAAATGGAACTAAAGTACGTTTTACCTGCCTGATTATCACCTTATAACGTTTCTTATAATATCAAATACTATAAAGATAATATCATTTTGAAATGCGGATTTAATCAAACTAATAGCAGCTTAATTTTGCGACATCTTTCTACTATACTATAGCTTGTTCCGTACTCATGTGGAAATCGACAATTTTAGGACAAAGCTGAAGTTTTTGATATTTACAAAATTACTTATTTTCAAGTGATTTCATGTTAACTATTTGTGTACACTATATCAATAAGTGTTCAACTAAACAAAATCGTTTCAACAATTGAAATGTAAAATAATGGCCTATAAGGCCAAAAAGGATTTATATTGGGAAAGACAGAAATATCGAACTGCAATCTTTCAAAGTTCTGAGATAAACGAAGGTTAACCTACATCTAAATAATATTTCTTATCAATCATAATATTTACCTTCTGAGTATTTTGTGAAATCAACGAAACTTTAAATACTAGTACTCATATCGTTGAACCGTACTTAACAATCTACACAATTGCATATGTATCAATTAAACCATGTCAGAAGAGATTCAATGATTAAGTGCATACTGGATAGGGTTTAAATTTATAAAGTCTAGAAACTCGAATATTTGGGGAAAAAAATTAACCGCAACATACTTCCTGCAAGCACGTATGTACATGAGGATCTAACAAATTACCAACTTCCTTAGAGGAGTTTCAAAGACTAAGTTTATATTTGAAAGAGTCGAAGGAGTTGCAATGACTAAGTTTATATAGTCAAATAAGGGGTGATAACAGAGTTTGTTAATTCACTCGAAACTGCGAGAGACATACGCAGTAGTAATAGATAAGTGGAATAAGCATAGAATATTGAATATTTCAAGCAATAATGTTCACATAGTTTTTTGTTCTAAATAGTTATAAGGCTTTAAAGTTATCTTTGATGTCTTCGTATACATGATTAATGGACTAAGTATGCCTGTTGTCTAATTAAATTAAAGGTATTAAAAAAAATTTTTTCAAAATACTATAGGTTTTTTTTTATTATTATAAACTGATAGATTTATTTGTCTGAAACTTGAATACTCAATTAAAACACACAGCAAACATACGATTCGACAACAATAATCTTATAAAATGTTTTAAATCATCAAAATCCTGAATTCATCTTTGTGTGAGCATTGCATAAGTAGTCAGTGCACCCGAATACTCCTATGTGTGAAGTACATTTCATCATGCTTTCAAAAATAATAAACAACAACTTTGTATCATTAGATATGTAACACTTTCGGACACTTTTAAAAGTCTTTCGTTTGTATTATGAAAACCTTTGTAAAATCTGTATATCTTATCATTTCTATTTTTTATATGATTGCATTCAAATACAGTGTAAAATGATATCATCTATAAGTTTTAATATAGATAAGAAGATGTGGTTTGAGTGCCAATGAGACAACTCTCCATCAAAGTCACAATGTATAAAAAGAAGACAAGTATAGGTCGAAGCAAGCCCTTTAACACGGAGCATAGGCTCACATCGAACAACAAGCTATAAAGGGCCTTAAAATGACGAATGTAAAACAGGAAAACCAACGGTCTTACCTTTATCAAAAACGAGAAAAGATAAACACCAAAGAAACATGGCAACCACTAAACGACAGGCTCGTAAAAATGTAGCGGGTTTAAACGTTTTAACAGGCGCCAACCGTCACCCTAACCTGAGACAGTTGTGTAACACGACATCAGTAAAAGACACACTATAAAATATCTTGAAATGGCTTAACTTTATCAAAAAGACATTTTAAAAAAAAACCAAGTAAACATACATTGAACGAATAAGTGTTATCTATGACACAATATAAATTCGATATTTATTAAAAAAAGAAGTAAGGACAGTGTCAAAAAGACAACTCTAATCTAACCTTGGACAAAATGACGGCAAATAAAGTAACGTACACAGGTAAATTGAATTATAAAACTTTTGTTGTAAGAATACGAAAACATTTTTTTGCAAAATTAATAAATTTGTTGTTCAGAGTACAACTACAAAAGTGAAAATTTATCGTCATACTAAATACTTATCAAAGGTGGTACATATTGCAAATAGTGAGACAAGATATAACACAAAATAATTAAATTTTAAATTACAGAAATGCAATACAAATTGTGTCAATAGGTTAAATTATCACGAAAGTACGATTTGGGAGTACTCGCGTTTACTGAAAACTAGTGAAAAGCCCCAAAAAAAACAAAACAAAAAAACAAAAAAAAACA